CTGCAGAAATTAATATTGATAGCTTATTAAATTAGAAAAATTTCACAAGCTATCTCTATGTTGAGCATTCTTTTCATATTCACTTTTGATTTATATTTACATATCGAGCTTTTACTCACAAAAAATTTAAGGTCATATACAACAAAAACTTATCTTGAAAACTAATATAATATAAATAGTAGTAGAAAGTAAGAACCCAGTAATTAATGTGGTTGCTAAAATTAAGCTTAATACATGGCAGACAAGGTAAAACATTGGACTCAAATAGCTACATAAATCTCATAATTTTTGCATAGTTAACAACTACTTGTCTGATCTCCTGATTTCTCCTAATACTCAACCTCTTCAATGCTTCTTTGTCTCTGTCTCTCTGCCTCTGTCACTATCACACTCACACACAAGAATTTCTTACTTGTAATTTAGGATAGTATTATTAGGCGATATGATGGACAATATCATCCACCATTAATGTAGTGGTATACTTAATATGTTTTCTTATCAAAGCACCCTCGATAAAAGTTGAAGGAGTAATGTGACACAATAAAAAATGACTCCATAATGTGGTAAACTTATAATGTTCAAATAAGTAACTTGGTGTTGATTTAATCTGACTCAGGAAAAGAAATAAAGGTATGTAGGAAAAGCAAAGGGCCTCCCTGGTGGCACAAGGGGTTCAGATGCAACCTTTGAAGCTATCCGCAGTCACTGCAAAATGAGTTCAATCCCCGGCCAGGGAGTTACCCATATGGTGCAGCAGACCTCTCCTGACTCACCCACTGCTTCCCTCAGCAGTCTATTTCAGTACATCTGCCTGTTCTGTTCCCTACTCTGTCTCTGGTGAATCCTCCCACCCCCCACACCTCTGGCCTGTACCCCAGTTCTTATATGTATAAATAAATAAATATTAAAAAAAGAAAAAGCAAAGAACTTTACACTTTAAAACAACAACACATATTCTGTTAATATTATCCTTTCTATCTGTTTATATTATCTTTTCTATCATGCATTTGATAAAACTGCACAGAGAGAAACTGGGGTTGACTTTCTGATGGAGTGCTGGATTGTTGGTATACTCTAAAGCATATGGATTGAAAGCAGATCCTATGACATGCCTTTGAGATGAATGGAATCTTATGATGAAAACTCAGGGAGTACTTGTTTTTTTTTGTTTGTTTGTTTCTTTTTTTGGTGGGACCCTCGCCGGTGGCCGGGGATCGAACTGGCGCTGCAGAGGCTGCGGGCAGCCTCACAACCCAGCGCTCAACCACTGAGCCACCAGGGGAGGCCCAGGGAGTACTTGTTTGATTAGATGACTACAGAGGGTGGTAACTAGAATAGCTATAAGAATGTTTAGTATTTAGAATGATTTAAAATTTACTTCAAAAAAGTTGTAATATCATCTTTTTAAAAATTGAGATAATTGATATGCAACACTATATTAGTTTCAGCTATACAACATAATGATTCTCTGTATAAATTACAAAATGATCACCACAACATAGCATAGTGTAATCTTTAGCACATGAAGAGGTTTAAGATTGTTTCTAAATTCTACAGCATTGATTGCAGGCAAAATGGTTTTGATACTGAAATATTTTAAATCATACATCATTACAGAAAGACATCAGTAATGTTCTTTTGGAACTTCTTACTTTCTCATTGGATACCAATAGGAATTACCTACAATATAAAAATGAATTAATTAGCTATCTCAAATTACATGAATTTGATGTAAGCAAATTGAATTTTAGAGAATATCTGCTAAATATAATCATTTTTAATTTAGAGAAAATGATATCATACCACTCTTTCAGATATAACTAGATGCCTGTTTAAATAGTCTAGTGAGGACCCTTCTGGTCCATCTTAAAATAGCGTTGTTATTAATAAATAGGAGAATTCATTTAATGCTCTATTAGATGTTTTACACATTAGTTAACTTAAAAGTGACTTTAATAATTCTCCTGGAAGTTAAAAAGGGGCCCAGAATATTCTGCTGTTGAATCTAATTCTTGAAATGGTATGGAACTGTCAGAAGATAATTGCATGCACAGGCCATAAGGACTAATTAGGAAAAAAATAAAAAGCCAAGAACAATTGGGAGACAAGTGAATGATTGATGTGTTTTCATATAGTCAAAAGTCAAATATTGTTCAATTTAACCAATATATTTCCATTATCTTTACTGTTTTCTTTTTTCTTTATTTTATCTTGTTTTATTTTATATATTTTTTACATCATTTTTCATTTTTGCACAATGTATGTGTTTTCGTCTTGTATATTCCTCATACAATTCCCACCACCCTTATTTTGACCCTAATCCTCCCCCCCCACCCATAGTGTGTCTCTGGTTTATAGTTGCTTGTTGATTTTGATTTTTACTTTATTATAATTCGTCTTTTTTTTGGTCCCTTATTTAGGTTTTCTAAATTCCTGCTATGAGTGAGACCATTCAGTATTTTTCTTTTTCTTTCTGGCTTATTTCGCTGAGCATGATCCCTTCCAGCTCCATCCATGTTGCTGCAAATTGCATGAGTTTATCTTTTTTGATTGCTGATTTAATATCCCATTGTACATATGCACCACATCTTCTTGATCCAGTCATGAATTTTTGGGCATTTGGATTGTTTCCATAGCTTAGCTATGGTAAATAATGCTGCTATAAACATAGGGGTGCAGTTTTGAATTAATGATTCTGTGGCGTTTGGGTAAATACCTAGGAGTGGAATTGCTGGGTCATATGGAAGTTCTATCTTTAGCAGGTTGAGGAATCTCCATATAGCTTTCTAAGGTATAGCATATCATTCAGTATGGGTGTTTTAATGGCATATTTTGTTTTTAATTCTTTCATTTATTTATTTATTTAAAGATTTATTTTTTATTTATACAATAGCTGGGGTACAGGCCAGAGGCGCAGGAGAGTGAGAGGATTCACCAGAGACAGAGTGGGGAGCAGAACAGGCAGATTAACTGAAGTATATTGCTGAATGGGGCAGGCAGGACAGGAGAGGTATGCTTCACCAGCCATGTGGCTTGATCCATGGCCAGCAGGGATCAACCGGCACTGCAGAGGCTGAGGACAGCTTCACAGTGCTGCGCTCAATCGCCTGAAGTCCAGGTAAGGTTGACTGGACTATTTACTCAGTCTCATGCACAAGGCCAAAGTCAAGGTGTTGGCAAGGCCATTCTCATTTGGAGCTCAGTGTCTTTGAAGTCCATACAGATTGTTGCTAGAATTCAGTTCCTTCAGTTTGTAGGAATGAAGTTCCACTTTCCCACAGACTGTCAATTTTCAACAACTAGACACTGCCTGCGTTCCTTACCACACTGTCCTTCAGTCTTCAAAGCAGACAGTAGAGAATGTGTTTTATGTCAGAACCTTGGCAGTCTTCAAATTTCTTAATCCAGAATGTGACCAGTTTGTTGTTCACCTAGTAAGTTCCAATTTACCTTGGATAAGCTCCTTTTTAATGTCAGTTGCATCATATATAACAAACTGATCACAGGAATAAAAATCCATCATGTTCAAAGTCCAAAGGATGATGTACATTAGGGATAAGGATCTTTGCTTCATTTTTGAATTTCGCCTATGTGATAGGTACACAAGCAAATATCAGTGAGTTCTAGCTAATGTGTCAAATTTATTTATTTATTTTTAAAGATTTATTTATTTATTTATACAAGTACTGGGTACAGTCAGAAGCGCGGGAGGGTGAGAGAATTCACCAGAGCCAGAGCAGGGAGCAGAACAGGCAGACTGACGAAATACACTGCTGAGGGGAGCAGCAGGCGGCAGGAGAGGTCTGGGCACCATGTGGGAGCCCCGCCAGTGGCCGGGGATCGAACCGGCGATGCAGAGGCTGCAGGCAGCTTCGCAGCCCAGCGTTCAACTGCTGAGCCACCAGGGAGGCCCTAACATGTCAAATTTAAATAATGGAGGGGATGGAAAAGTGGAATGAATCTTTTTTTTACTTGCAAAAAGAGTTCTACTTCTGTGCCTGTGTGTGTATTAAGATTAAGTCTTCTGTTTAGTTTTCTCGTTATTGCTTCCTCTTTCACATCTTTGGCTGAAAGGATCATATTCCAGTTGTGGCCTTACTGATTTCTCCATTGGAAAGGATTATTAACTTAGTTGCTGTTAAGTGATAGATTTTCTGCCTTAACCTTGGTAGGCCTTTGCCTGTGCCCATTATGATTTGTCTGGGTGCGAATACTAATTGCATTTATCCTGTTTTTAACTGTCTTCCATTTATTATCTTTTTTGATTGCACAAGAGTTTTTCTTTGCAACCTACTTCAGGTCACCGCATACATTCACTGAAGAGGAGAAAAAATATTTAGGTACATATTTGAGGCACTTAATATTTTGTGAGAAGAACTAATCCTTCAAAATTAGTTTTTATTAGAAATAGACCCTTAGACAAATGACTTGAATAATTCACTTTCCAACTTCCAGACCCAAAGTTTTCCTTTCCTCCCTAATAATAGTTCAGGTTCTCAATACTAAAGTCACCTTAGAACCAACAGCCAAAGCAAATGAAGTTTATCACTTTGAAGTACAGAGTGCCCAAAAAACAGATGCTGGAAAGTTCCCTTTAGAGAAAAGTGATAATGAGGTAGGATATCAGGAACCTATTGAGAGTACAAGAATTAAGCCCAGCTGTCTTTGCAGTTACTAAATCTGATATCCTATCTGATGCTAAGCCCAACTACTGTAGGAAAGGACTTTGACTTGACCTCACTCATTCCTTTTTAGTAAAGAGGGAAAGGAGTTTGGTGGGCTTGTGGTTAGAAAAGAATGAAAAGAGCCTGGAGGAGGAGGCCCAGGGAAGGTCTAGGAGCAAAGCCCAGAAGCGCGGGTCTGGAGCTGAAACTCAAGGCCGGCAGACACCAGTCCCGACTCCCCAGGAGGCCCGCGAAGCGCGCGCATACCCGGAGGCCCCAGCCGGGCGGCCGGCGCTGTTGCCTGGACACCGGGTAACGGACCCCGTGGGCCTCAGCCGCCGGCGCCGCGGAGCCGGCGGGGTGGGCAGGCTTGGCGCCGAGAGACGGGCGGAGCGGGTGAGTCAGGGGTGCTCCGTCTGCGAGGCAGCGGGTCCTCCCACTTCCCTGGCCGCCTGCAAGGCTGCCATTGAGACCGGAGTACCTGGTGTAGCCTCCGCTGGGGTTTATGGCCCCATCGTGTTAATCCCTTATTCACTGCTCTGGGAAGCTGAGGGGAGGCTGTGATTTACTGGAATAGTTAAAAGAGTAAAAATTTCCTAAAAGAGTAAAAATTCCCTTGGCCTTTCTGGAAAGTCCCCCTGCACTGGCCACCTATTTGTCCTTCTCATTGTCTGGAACTGCATGCCTAGGGTCTTCTTATTCTTTTAAAATTGTAATTTCTACCTTTTATTTTGCTTATAAAGGCCCTCTTGTAACGCTTGTGATTATTGTGAATTGTTGTTTGTATTTCTTCTTGATAGTTTCATTTTTCAAGTGTCTTGCCCAACCAGAGATTGCATACATTCCTAGATGTATTATTTATTTCTCAACATTCGCAGGCTGCTCACTAAATACTTGTGACTTGATAAGGCAGTGTTCCAGGCCTACTCATTACTGCATCTGTCTAGGAAACCACCCAAATGTAACATTCTTGAGACATCCCTACCCTTTACCTCCCTCCAAATAATTGTTTTTTGGTTCTGTTATGGTAATAAGTTTTAGGACACCACTTATTAAACTTAACTCAGAGACTAATGGATGGCTAGTTGTGAGAAACGTCCAATGATTTGAAGGATTCTGAACTTTATGTTGAATTATGACATAGACAAGCATACATGTGAAACTAGTGCATTTCTATATTATATAGATAATACTTCCTATTTTATTGCTGTAGAATTGTTGGGGGTACAGTGTGCCCTGAATGAACTCCACCCACTTATGTTTAATGGACCCTACCCCCACCTCCATGCCAAAGAGATCCCAGGGGCCTAGGAGTACAAGTGCCATCAATCATGCCATGGATCTGCCATTCCCCTTGACTTCTTGAAAGGGATTGCTGCGAAGGACAGGTGGGGTTAAGCAGTCATGCTTGATAAAAAAGGGAGGACATGTGGGCTGGAGGGGATTTGGTTTTGCCTGCCTTCAGCATGGACTGAGGTCCCAGCTCAGCCAGCATTACTGGTAGGACATATTAACCAATTAATCTCATATAGCTCCCTCTCACTCGCTGACCTCCCCTCTTTTCTTTTCCCTTGTAAATAAATCTTTTATTAACTTTTCTATTTGTGCCTGCCCATGGGTCTTTTTCTGAGTTTTTTAAGCTTATGGATGAGGACTTATACCCAGGACATCCCATTTCCCTTTGGGGTTGCCCTGTAACAGTCTTAAGGTTTTATTATTAATCTTGGGTTAATTCCCATAACTATTGAAAAATATGAATTTGAATATTAACCCACCCATTCTGCCTGGATGAAGTCCCGTTATATTGATAACTGACAGAGCTCTTGTCCCCAGGCCAGCCTCTGTCCCTTCTGTTTACACCTCATATTCAGCATAACCTTAGACTTCAACAAGCTCTCAGTTTGTTCTTCCTTATCTATTCCTTATTGCAGCAAGTAATATCTGCACATATTCTTTTTTTCCCCCCTTTGAATAGGGATCTCATTCTCACGCTGGCTTATTCCACCCGTAACAGAACTGTGACTTCCAAGATTTTTATGCTCATAAATTCCCAGCCTTGCACCCAATCAAGAAAATCTAGGAAGTCCCTGGGAAAAACCCTTCTTGACCCCAGTTGGTTTACCTGCCTATCCCTAAAACATTCATTTTGGGATTGGGGCTACTGGGATTGTCAGCCATCTAACCATGGGAATAGAGTGGGAAATAAACTTCTCAAAAAAAGGATACTTCTTTCTTTTTAAGGGAAGGAGGGTGTCTGGGGGGACAAATAGAAACTACCCACAGTTTATCAAGGCATATAAGACTGAAGTTTAGAATATTGCCCAGAGAATTGCTAAAATGCTGGGCACCTGGAGATGAGACAGAAGCTGCTGGGCTCCTCAAAGTAGCTGTAGAATTTGTGATGTGGCATTTGGATTGGATACCTGGTGGAAAAGCAAAGGCTTTTTATTCAGAGTGCACTGTAGCAAAAGAGTCCATCATCACGAGGATGGGGCAGAGACTCAGAGGGAGACAAGGGAGCGGGGAACATTTTATAGTGAGATAAAAGGAAGGCTTCAAGTGTGCTGTATTTAGAGACTGTTGACAAGGGGAAGCTGGAAATAGGCTAACTAGAAATGGGCCCTCCTATGGGATGGGTTTGGGGATCTAACGTGGCTTTCTCTGGTAATTTCCAAGTTGGTAACATGGGGGATTATTAGGGTAACTGGCACTGATTGACAGTCCTGAATATTTGGGGCTAATTACTGCAAAGGTTTTGCTTTGTCTTCCCTGACTGATTGGTGTAGAGTTTGTGGGTCAGAATTATATTTTTATATACAGTCTGGTCATTGTGCATATAGTCTGTCTCTCAATATCCATAAATCTTCAATTATATAATTTTAAATTTACTCTTATATTAGGAGCCACGTATAAAGAGATTTGGACAAGTTCAGCATTGTCTTCTTGTTAATGAATCATCATTCTGTGCATCTAAATCATTACCATTTACTAAATCCTTATTCTATGCTAATCAGTGGACCAAACAGTTGGCATCTGTGTGTTACATTAATCCTCACAATGATACTGTGATGCATTATTATTGTCACAACTTTTCCAGAGGATACTGAGGCTGAAATACATTAAGCACCCTCTCCAAAGTCACGAGGCTTGGAAGGAAACTTTCTTGTAATTCAATTCCACATATGACTTAAAAGCTGTTTTTCAGTCCTTTATTAACATGTCTGATAATCTTCTTTCATCACTATATGATTCTATGTCACCTTAACTTTTGTCTTTTAATTATTATTATCATCATCATCATCTGGCCTTCTTTCCTGGGTATTTAATGGATGTTTGTTTAAATTAAAGTTTATTTTCAATGCCTGGAATTAAAAAAAAAAAAAAGCTTTCTTTGCACACTGAAGGGATTAAACTTAAACTTTAGTTGCTAGAAACACTCTGTATTTAACCATAAAGCAAATGGATGAGTTCTCTGGGCTTAATAAATCAGAGCATGATGATGGAGACAAAATGTTTGAAAAAGTGGTGAAAGAATACAACATATAGGGTATGAGTACCTAAAATATATATTTTTTCTTAATGAATTCATCAAATCATTTGTATGAAAAAGTTATTCAAATATCCCTGTATTGATGGTTAATAAGACAAAACAGATGATTATTTTTGTCTTTAAAATATTTGTTTTGTGTAAGTGTGAATGTGTACTCTAACCTCAGGAACTGTAATTGTTGAGTCCAAAATCTATGCTTGAATGAATTTTTTGAGACACTGTAAATCTGGGTATTTTTGCTAGTTGTGTTCACTAGAGTCAATCACCTTCAGTATTCCACTGCTTTTAGAACTCAATTTATTCAGTTTGTGTTCTCAGAACAACTTTATTACAGGTCATGGACATAGCACAGACACAGCAGAAGGAAGATACATGGAAAAGTGTCCAGAGGTCACAGACACAGATTTTTTTAAATCTCCCACCTTTGGGTCATATAGGTGCTCTTGGTCTGTGTAGTTCTGTAACCATTATTGGTGCCTCTGAAACATCTCTGTGGCAGGAAACCCAGATCTGCTCATGGTGGAGGTGCCTTAGCTCATGCCAATATATTCTAGCAATTTGCCCGCCTTTACTTTGAAGGCCCCTTCCCCTTAGGCTCTACCAAAATTAGATGCAATTATAAATCCAATTATTATTAGTAAACAATGCTGGCAGCCTGATACATTCTCCTTTGAAACAACTCATGGACTCGTGGTTACAAACCATTATTTATCTTTAGTTAATACATTCTATAGTATTGGCCAAGGGTCAGTAGCTCTGGAGATAAGCTGCAATTAATCCAAACCAGCTAAGATGAACTCATTTTATGTATAGCCTATGGAATAGCAACTTTTCAACTAAACGCTCAAGTCTTTTTCACAACAGAAGTGCCAAACAAATACACATGTGCTCTTGTGACCACCTATCACATCATGCATAGCTCTTTCCATCAACTATTTATTAAGTTTCTGGTAATAGTGGTCTACTCATGCCTTTCTTTTCCCCCCATTCATTCACTCCTGGTTTTTGTTGTTTTTTTTTTTTTTTTTTTTTTACTACTTAAATTCTGCTACCGTCATTTAAGGGAAAAGTTTGTTAAGGTTACCTATGACCTGTTGTCACATAAAATGTCACATAAAATTTCCTTTTTTTTTTTTTTTTACTAGTTTTCATCTTTAATTATCTTTTTAAGATTTTTGAGGTTGTAGGTTCCTTCTTGAAACTCCTCCCTCCCCCCATTTTTTTTAACCCATTCATGTTTTCCCTGTGAATTTTTTTCTGAAATCTGTTAATGTTAATATTGTTGGGTTTCATTGTCAACATTTGTTTTTTGTTATTCTTCAGTGATCTCAGTCACCAACTGCACAAAGATAAAACTCCAAACTCTAGTCTCAAACTCTCTTAAGAATTTTTGAACACACATATATTATCAGCACAAAACACACCCATATATAGAATTAAAATGTTCATCTCTCCTTACATCCTATCTGTTCCTCCTCATATAGATTCAATTTAGGATAATGGCAATGCCATCTGTTCATTCTTGTATGCCAGAAATTTTTGAGTTATTCTAGATTCCTCCTTCTCTGTTATTTATCACATTCAGTTTCTCACCAAATCACAACAAAGTGTACTTAGTGCATTTCATCCTCACTAAAAGAAATATACCTATTAGCAGAATATCTCCATTTCTCCCTTGCTTCAGTGTCTGGCATTAGCTGATATTCTTTTTATCTCTTTAGATTTGCCTATTCCAGTTAGTTCATGTAAATTAAGTCACCAATTAATGATCATTTGTGACTCACTTCTTTCACTTGGCATGGTGTTTTGGGGTCCATTCATGCTGTAGCATAAGCTAATACATCAT